CAGGAATCTAAATCAAAGCTAATTTTACAGTACTTAAGTAACAAAAACTTTCCGAAGTGTCCTCAGAAATGATTGAGGCTGAATATCTGAGCAAGACCAGCCTTTTTATCTTCATGATGCCAGTGTGCGGAATTCCTGTAGTAAATGCTTCCAAAGGCATGCATAGAGATGGGTGGCCAGGAAGCACGAGAAGGAGATTCTGAAATGACTTACCTGAACTACTAACTTTAGAAACCATTGCGAAATTTGCCAGGTTATCATAAATTTTTTCCAACCTTTATCATTGAATAGACATGTATCTTGAAATATTGTTTACACTGCTCCTCCTGTTGTTCCTGCCAGTTTAGTGGTGTTTGTGTTTCCTGTTGTTGCCTCGTTGACCCATGCAGACAGAAACTGCTGAAAAATGGTGCTGCTAACTACACAAATAACTACCAAAGAGAAAATGCAGTGAAGTGAAAAGCAGTGTTTCTTTTTCAGACCCTCATTTCAACTTCTTTTGTAATATATACCTTGCAATTAAAAGAGAAGAAAAAATGTCTGTATTTGTGGCTTCTTGAATTGTTGTCACTTGTGAAGGGAGTTTTCAGCTCAACCTCTGATTGTGCCCCTTTTAGTCAACCAGTGTAAAGGTTTGTGATCCAGGTAAAAGCAGCAATGACTCAGAACAGTCAGAATTTGAACTGCTAGTGTAGTTTTTTGACCATCTTACCAGTAGTGGATTTTATTATTTTTCCTGTGATGCTTTTATGTTGGCTGTATTTTACTTTGTGTGTTTATCAGAAATCCTTCTTTCCATAATTTGTAATAGTGATACAGTCTTTTATCAGGGCTCTGTTTTAAAAACTACCAACACTGAGATTGTTTCTTCAATCTCTTAGCATTGCTTAATACAAGTCAGTTTTTGGAGGTCATCGATACAAACAAAAAAGACAGCTGATGCATGAGAGTCTGGTAAAATTAGAAAGGATGAAGTGAAGTTTTTTTTACCAGCTGGAAAAGACAATCTTAACAAATCAACACAAATTTCTTGAGCTGCTACATCAAATTCTTTCAAAAAGCATAGTCTGTTCCTCCTCTTTCCACAAGTTGCTGAAGTAAGGCTAGGCCTACCGCGTTTCCTCATCTGCTTCATTCTTTGTTGAGCAGTGCCAGCACATCGTAGCTCTCTGAGGTTGGCCTGGGCTTTCTGAAAGGAATGTCCTTGAGCCTATAATGAAATTTTGACAGTGTTTAACCAGGCCAAGAGCTAAAATCTTCTCCTTTGGTGCAGAATGATCCACAAATAGTATTGAGGCCCTGGAGGTCAGAGCTAAGCTGGTTGCCATTTTGGTGGAGTTTTTGAGCTTTGCTCTGTTTATGCACTTTGCTTATTGGGCATTTAAATTCATATTGCAAAGATACCTATCAGTTTCTCCATCTGGTAGAGAAGAGGAAATTATTTTGTGCAGTTCACAACATGGGTAGCAGGAGAGTTGGGAGTAAAATTGAAATTTCTGACTTCCATTTTTCCATGGAGTATTAGCTGTTTATCTGATTTATTTTGTGGATATGCTTTCATTATGTTTTTAAGGGTTTGGTTTTTCAATTTACCATTCTGAAAAAATGTAGTAATCACTCTTTTAAAGAGTGTCCAATGAGGATTTTTTTGATGCTCCTCATGCTTACGCAGTAGGTGGTTGTCCTGTTTCCACAGCTGTACGGGTACTGTGTACAGTCTATACGCTGACTGGCTCAAGTACGTAGCCAGTTGGGTCTGCTCATAAGTGAAATTTGTCATATAGATGCGCCTTTTCTTTTTCCGAGAAGTTGGTTTATATCATGCCTCAAATCTTGTTTAAGTTAGAACATCTGGGTTTCCAAATATACGCTGTAGTTAAGCAACAATTAGTAAGGGGAATTCTCTGATATTCAGCTTCTGAGCCCAAAAATTGAGGCCGAGCTTCTCAGAAAAATGATACATAGTGCATTTTGATTGGTTGGGGTTGATACGTTTTCAAAAATAGTAATTTTGCCCTCCCAGAATTTACCATAGAGAATTCCTAAATTCAGCATTTAAACACCTAAACTTTCCATGTAGAATTCACAACGGATCCATTGGGAAATATGCTTTTCATATCAACAGTTTATTGTTGCCAGTAATTCCTTGTAACTGTAATGCTTTTCTAATGCACCAATACTGAAGTATTTTCCCCAAACCTGGTTAGTTATGTTCTGCATAGTAGTGGTCTCTCATAAACTAGTGCAGAAGCATGCATTTTGTAGAAGTCGTTGACAGAGTTGATGCTTAGTTTTTCTAAGCGAAGTTTCTTCTTAAAAAGGGTCTCTGAAAGTTGAGGAATTCTAAGCGAAGTTTCCTAATGAAGTTGATTTCTTCATTTACACCACACAACCCTCAAGACACCAGATTTAATAGTCGTATTGTTTGGAGTATGCACTGAGGAGTGTTTCAGCCAGTGCTGTGTATGGTAACACTGAAATGTTATGTTAATGTCTTCTGCCAAATGTTAATGTCTTCTGCCATAATGCTTATATATTGAGGAAAGAATTCCTGCTAAAGACAAAATATATTTGTTAGTTATAATTAAATAACACATAATCTTGTCAAACACATGCATATTGTTAGGAAATTTCTGTTGAATAATGAATTTCACAGAAGTACTTTAGGAAAAATATATCATGCGCAGAGCCTATGGTTCTTTAACATCCTGTCACCTATCCAGTATAAAAATTGCAAACTACTGCAGCATGAACTTTTGTGTCTGATTCATGACTTTACAATTACACTTTAGTTTTTCCGGAAATATTGCCTCGATGCTGTTACTGTGCAGTAGCTTTCCTCCTCTGCCTAATACTCCTGGAAGGGATTTCTCTTGTTTTCAAAGTTTTTATTTGCTCTAGTACATGCAGAGGAGCAGAATTAGTTGGAATAGTTTGGTGATTTTGCAGGTACAAAGAAACCTATAACTTTCATCCTATATGATAATAAAAGGCAGGTTTATGACCATGTGATATTTTTAGCTGTCTCAGCAGGACAGGGTATATTAGAAGAAAAAGAAAAGCTTTGTCTTGTATATGTGCCATTTTGTTCTTTAAAGAGATACCATAATTCTGAAATAAGTGCATTTGTTGTCATGGATTTTACAAATAGTGAAGTGGAATTAGAGGGTCCTGTAAAGTTGTCCTCTCCATTTTGATAAGTGGATGTGGCTGGATTGTGTGGGAAAAGCTCTGCTGCTCACAGTCCCTTCTAAGTTAAAGCTCCAGTTAGTGAGAACCCATTTCTAATAGGAACTGCAGGAGAACTGTCTTCAGGGGCTGGTTGCCATGGGGCAGATGCGTGTGCATGAAGGACGTTCATCGTTACAGGCTGTGTGGCCAAAAAATACATTTTCTTGATTGTTGTTTTCTATCAGAGGTCTCGCTGATCTTGGTTCTGGGGAAAAATAAAAGACAATAGTGAAGGTCTGTATGTCTGCGTGACCGTGTGCAGATGGGTTCTGATTTTACTGTCTTTGTTATAGATGGTGAACCAGAACCTGCTGATGGAAAAATTATGTTCAGGAAGCCAGCCAAACGTTCATCAGAGAAGTTTTTGGACTTCAACGTAAGTTCAAGTAAGAAGATGAAAGAGGCAAAGAAAACTAAGAGAGAAGCAACTACTCCTCAGAGTACAGCTAAGCAAGTAAAAAATAGCAGTCTTCTCTCATTTGATGATGAGGAAAATGATGATTAGGAGTTGTATTTTTTTATATTTTACTTACCCTTCTAGGGATCTGAGTAAGATTGAGGGTTTTCCTAGAAATTGAAGCATGGTATCTGAGTCTTCTCATACTTTGTTGTAGTCCAACTAGAGAAACATAGTATAGAACTAGCAAGAGCTAAGTCTTTGCCATTCAGATGGAACTGTATGGACAGTATGTCATGTCTTTATTTTAAGAGAATTTAATCGTGCATGTAAAAGCTATTTGAGGTCACAAATGAGTAGCAAAATATACCTGTACATATACAGCTTATGTAACTTTTCAATCAGTACATTTTAAATGTCTCCATTACTAAAAATGTATTTCCTCGCTATTTACTGGCCTGAGTTGACAGTTGTGTGTTTTCTACCTGTTATTGTTGACTTGACATTCACAAGAGAGAGACTTCATTGCTGTGGAGCAGAGACTGAAGTCTTCTGTCTCAGTTTAACAAAAGTTTGCACAACTTTTGCGTGTGTGGTTTGGCAGATTAGCTCTTTACAGAGCCCTTGCAGTAAGCAAGCCTGCAGTTGCTAAAATCCTGTAGTCTTAATCCTGTCTTTGGTGAATGCTGTCTAAGCAGCATCAAGTTCATTTAAATTGATTGTGGTAGCAAGATATAAAAATTTTGACTGTAGTTGATTGTATCAACTAATGCAAAAGAAAGATGCCGAAACCCTTAGAGATTGTACACTTTGGTTATCACACTGATGGGCTCAGTGGTTTGGTGGTGGAGGTTGTTTTTTGGTTTTTTTTTAAGTATATTTGTTCCAGTTGACTACCTATGTGTTCATAATTATTTGGGATCTCAAACAGCTTATTTAAAAATATGTATCTCATCTTTAAACTGTGCAAAAGCATTATTTTGGTTTTCTTCAAGTAGGAAATTTTAAATGGGAAAGGAACATTATAGCTGTGATACAAAGCTTTAAAATTTTTCAGTTGCCCATGTACAGTACACTGAAAGTGACCATTTCTGCACTGTTTATGCAATAGGATGTGCTGAAATTCAAAATAACACTGAGAGCTGATGGGACTGGGGAGAACAAGGTGGTGGAAGTGGGACTAGTGACTTTGAAATTATTTGGAAGTATGGTGTGTTCTGTAACCATGTATAAGCAAGACCTGAGACTGCTGCAGAATTACAGGATACAAGGCAATGAAACCAGTTCTGCTGCTCTGTGACAGTACATTCAACATAATTTGGGCTGTAAAGCTTCATTGAGGAGCAAATTTGAAGTTGCTGTGTGAAACAGCTGGTTTTAGTTTGTTAACCTGGTATGAAAAAATAAATTATGTTTTAAGTGGTCCAAAGATACTTGAATGAAAATTTCAGTACATAAAATGGGCTTTTTTTGTCACTTCATAATGAAGCCTCTTATGACTGCTACCTGTCTCTCTATATACCAGCTTCCCACAGCATAACATCAGATGCAAGTCTGCATACTATTTCACACTAATTGTGTGAGTGCATGTTACCCCGAATTTGAAAATGAATAGATCTGTTGTCCTTTCAGAAAATTAAAACCAGACCTATAAATGGATATTAAAGTCTTGTTGTAGCACTAGTCTGATACTAGAACTGCCAGAGAGGTGCAGTGCAACAACCTGATTACTCCCATGAGGATGTGTTACATTTGTAAATACGTAATCTGTCTGTATTCTGTACATATAAGAAAGAAAATCAAATGTAGGAAGAAGAAATACAGAATCAAAGGTTCCCAGGGATTAAGCTTTCCATTTATTTTGTATACTTAAAGCTTGTTTGAATCCATTAAAATATATATATATATACACTCATGAGAAATCTTGTAGCATTACAGTATACTGAAGGAATATTTGGGCATTTCAACAACTGAGTAAATACTCTGACTTGCTGAGACTCATCTTAGAGAATGAATTAACCATTGACTGCTTACTTAAACTTTTCTGGTTCTGTTCGTCAGCACAAAAATATACTTGCTTACATTTTTCTTGCACAGCCTGAAAGCTCTTCACTTTAGCTGTGAGGCAGTTTAGGAGACATGGCTATCAAGAGATAAATGCTTGCCAAGGATCAGAGGGAATTTGGATTTACCTTAAAATTAGAGAGGGCCTCCCAAATATGCAGCTGATTTGGCATGTTCAAAATAAGATTGAGGTCTTGTTTGAATCTGGTTAGTAATTGCATTTAAACAAAAATTACTGTTTCTAGTGAAAAACTTGGGAGACCGAAGTCCAGTGAAAAGAGGGTTGCCTCAAAATATTGGGTGCAGTACTTACGCTTAATCACGCTCCTTGCCGTACAACTTCATGACAGATGTCTGGAATGCAAATAAATTAATTGGGTTTACTTGGAAATAATATAATGAAAGGTATGTTGTTCTTCAGGCAACACAGCAGGGGAAACAAAGGTGGATATGGAAACCCAGTTTCTTTCCTTTTTTCCGACTGTGATTTGTAGTGCTCTGACCAGGAGGAGACCTTTATATTCATTGTATTTCACTCCCAGTTCACCTAGCAATAACTAATTGGATATATTTATTAAGAGGTGTGAGTGATGCACAAAGGCATTTTAGTCAAGTAGTCATGTGAAAATACAATGTTTTTAATGTGACACACCAGAAAATTACACACGCCATCAACTCCCCATGAAACCTGTGACTAAAGAGAACAATTACTTGTTCATTTAGGAAAGAAATGTGAAACTGTCTTAAGCAATCACCTGCCTTAAGCAGTGGCCCATGGAAAAATAATAATTGCAAGAACTTTATAATAAAGGGGAAGCCAAAGTAAGTGCATGGAACATGGGGCTGGGACTGGAATGGACAATTTTCCTGGCTTTTTCTTTCCTTCTCCCTTCCCTGCCCACATCCCCGGTCCTTTTCCCCTCCTGTACTGAGGAATGTATATGTGTTTGTTTTTTCTCGCGGATCTTGCTGAGCTAAGTGTGAGAGAAGCGCTGTGGAGGAACAAGGTGAAAGTAGCTGAGGCTTGTTACCTAATAGGGGAATCTTGTACAGTTGTGATTAATAAAATCTTCCCAGTTGCTTAAGATTCGAAAACATTTATTGATGGTGGTGGTAGTTCTTGCTCTTCTTAGCTGAGCAGTGAGCCGGAACAAACCTGGGGAACTGTAGTAGCATTGCAGCAATAGATGCTTACAGTGGAGGCTTTTTACCTTTTGAAGGTGCTTGGATGTCCTCAGGAAAGGTGAGGTGCTTGCCACCTTTCTTTCTTCTGAAGAAACGGAATCTTTCTCTAAATAATAGGAATGAAGGTGAATCATCAGTAATGCTGCACTATGAGATAAGAATTGCAAAGACACAGGGCAGAATGAGCAAGAAAATGCATGTGTGAGCAGGCGGCGCAGGAGTTCCCACCCTTGGTCGTATTTCTAGCCCGTCTGATAAGGTTCATTTTTTTTCTCAAATAAAAACAAATTTGTAGTACTGCAAATGTTCATTTCATTGGCCTAAACAGGAAGGGATGAGTCAGAATTCTATTCTGATAGTTTTTGTGTCCGGCACTTTTCCAGGAAATATCATTTGGAGGATCAAAGGCTGTGTTTTGCAGACACTGAGCACAAGATGCCTGTATTTAGCTGTTTTAATTACACATTTTTTAAGTTTCATCACAGGACTTAATGTCTTTTTTTACAGTGCTTCAGTATATAATCCTGTTAGGAAGCTGCAGATTTATAATGAAGCAGGAAGTAGCAGTGTCATCGTCTCAGCTGATTGTTTCCCTTGTGCTGGAGTGTATTAACTAAGTAATGCTTCACTTGGCTGTGTAGAGCCAATTGCATTCTCAAGGACATCAGGCATGCCTGGAGATGAGTCATTACCTTTGGTACGGCACAAGAGGTATGATATGCAGTCTCAGCAACTGTTTGTCCATTGAAGTTGGTTAATAACCTATAGCCCTGTCTCGTGGCAGGATGCCATAAATCAATCCTTTGTGCATTCAGCAAACAGAAAGGCTGGTGTATCGGCTGCCTCTTCAGTGTCGTCCCTTTATTCCCCTTCCTAGAGCGAGGTGTTAATCTGCAAAGAGATTTCTCATGTCGTGAACCTCTCCTTCCGCCCCACTTCCTTGAGGGCGTTCCAGAGGCAGTGGTCACCAGGGTAGCCATTAAAACCAGGGGACAAGCACCACAGCGTTTTACATGAGTGACTGCAACCTCCTGTAGACTTCCTCAAGATTTTTGAGAACTTACAAAATCTCAGAGCCAGCCCCTGGGAAGTAACTTCCTCCTGGGGAAAATGGATGGGACCAGTCAGGAAAATTACACAAGATTGAATTTTGTGCTGTTTACCCTACTATCGCTTCTTATTTTTTGTTGGAGGTGAAGCCAACAGCTGGCAAAAGCAGTTTTTCCTCTATCAGGAAATGTAAAGTGGCTTTGGTGCCATTCCAATCCATATGGCAAAGGATTCCTTTTCCTTGACTCCTGTGGCAATCCTCAGTGCAATGCCTGATTAGTTAAGGCCATGGCCAAGAGGGAGCTACCTTGTAGTAGGCAGAAGTTATTAGAGGAAGGTGTTGTCAAGTCTCCGTGGGGTAACGGTGATCACTGCACACTTTTAGTTTTGATATCATGAAAGAGTTGTTCCCTTAGGGACAACACAGTAACAACGAACTTTAAAAGGGCAGATTATAAAACTATGAGGAAAATGGTTAACAGCAGGCTGAAGGGCAAAGAGAAGTACTTAAAAACCATAGAGATCTGCCTGGAGGCTATTTAAGAACATTGGATTAGAGGCACAGATGGTTTGTATACCTCTGAGCAAAAACATAGCGTATGAGGAAGAATGAAACTCACAGGGTTACGTGGGAGAAAAGCGTGAGTATAGAAAGGTTGAAAACGCATCCCTTAAAGAGGACGGCTGTCTGAATGACAGACTAGGAAATGTTCTCGGGAAAGAGCTGGAAGGTGTTAGTGCTAAGGAAAAGACTAGAGCCATGCTGACTTTGGATCCCCAGGACGAAACACTGAAAAAAGTGATTCTAA